ACGTATGCCTCGAAATATATGGCATGGTATATACACTTATGCACTGTGCTACATCTATTCCAAATAACAATTGATGTCGACAGTTGTAGACAGAACATATGGGCAACAAAATTTCAAATATTAAATTATTTGTCTTTGTAGATAACTGGGCTTACTATGCGGGTAGCGAAGAGATTACAAGTCAATATCCATCTACAGCCTTTGAGTGGACTCTCGTAAGTTCGTCATTACATTATACATCATTACATTACGTTACGTCATATTACAACACAGTTCAGTACCGTGTAATACAGTAAAGTATTGCGACTATGTGAGCTACAATAAAAAAATGTTAGGTAATTATGTGTCAATGATCTTTGCAAATTATTCAAGTATTGTTTTTTTTAAATATAATTACTTATTTTTTCAACTATATCTTTAGACAAACATATGAAGTTCTGGAAATGGTATTTCCTATTCTGTGGTTAAATGAGGTAAGCTGATTGTTATTTGAATTACGTATGTAATGCGAATGTGCATAAACTGGTAATTCTAGCTGGCATGGCGAACCATACACAGTTTCATCTCGATATACATGTGTAAGATTTGTGCGCGGAGGCGAATAATTGTCACACACGTTATAATGTGAACTTCAGGGTAGATTGGTATGCAGCTATTTGAGTTAGTCTTTCTAAATCAATAATAAATAGACTGACTGATTAGTTAAGTCATATATATTAATTAATTGATACACATCTTTGAATACAAGTTCATATCATTGTACTGACTGTGATAGTTTTCGACTGTAAGATGTCAATGTGATTGCCTGACCTTTTGTATTGTTTTCTGACAATATCCCGCAGAGCACAGAGTTGAGTGACGCCAGTGCGGCCAAATACAGATCCCACATACAGACACCTCTCCTCGTCACTAAAATAGTACCATGGGTCTTCATTGCTATTGGTGTTTTGCTTATCGTCTTGTCGTTGATAATGGCAATAAGGAATCGAAGAAAAAGCAAATCACATAAAGCAGTGAGTATTAATTTCAAGTCTTATACAAATATATGTATCATAGCATAATTTACATTGACATATTCATAGAGTCCTACATATATTTCTCAGATAAGTTATTGTGTAACTCATTATATAATTAAGAATTAAGAGCACTGCATAAAGCATTACAATCACTCCACGTAAGCATTCCATGCCTCATGCCTTTCATTTTCACTATTTGTCAACAGGAACAATCGTCCCTGGAACTCTCCGAGCCAGTCACGCTAAACAAATCTCAAAGAAAAAACACGACCCAAATTCACACGGCAGTGTGACGATTCTCTACATGACATTTGTGAGAATCGCTCTTTCACTTCATGTCTTGCGTATGCATATTGTGATTTGAGTGTTTGTGTTTCTTTGATTTCAAAAAGAAGGCAATTATTAAGAATTGTATTTTCATCACATTTAAAATCATCAAGCAACAACAGAGAATATATAAAGCAAAATAATAAATTACTTACCACTAGTTGATGTGAAGGGTCACCAGGCAAGGACACATGTATTTTATAATAGTCGAAATTGACCATTATCCCTTAACCAAATTGCTAAGTGAAAAAAATCCTATTTGTTTTAAAATAGATTCTGGGGTCTCTGGGTATTTTATGTTTTGCCCTCTACATGATTTGATTTGAAATGCCGCAAAGTTGAGAAGTTTGTTTCTAAGTATACACCAACGGCTTTATTATCACTAATGAATGATTAACATATAACGCCTATATCTGTTGTAAAATTCAGTGGTATATTTATACTGCAAACAAACGTCGATCATGTTTTTATTGCTCAACTGTCATCGAAGACGACCGAGCGAAGATGTTTATATATTTTCTCGACGTTGACCGCCCATCTGTTCTCCGTCATCTAAACAGTAAGTTAAATCGCTTTCATATTCACCATACGTGTTCCTTGAACATCAGACCAGATTAGTCCGTATCATGCCAATAAACCCGGACAATATTAATTAAATCAGCATTGTGGGTTGTGGTCCAGCCATTAATTTCAAATTGTTCACCGCCAGAGATTATGCATATTCACGATGAGCAGAATATGTAGATGCATTATTTTTTTATAATAGTATTTTGTAAAGTCTACTGTTTTTAAAAGGATAAGTATTCGTGAACTGATGCTGGTGTTTGGTGATGACGAGACATATATAAAATATATGAATTATTATTTAGATATGTTTGTAATCATAGCTTAATAATTAATCATAAAGCAATGTCCTGACTTTGAACTGTCATTCTTGTATACGATTTCTGGGTTATGTGTGTTGTGAATGCAATTATGTTTTGGTGCCTCGCATACTACTTCACATTCTACACAGATTACTATTTGGTTTTACAGATGTTCATGGAAACTGAAAAGGCACAGCTGATTGGTATTAATATTATTGATGAAGAAGACAATGATTGGGATTTAGTTTTCTCCCTGGAAAAAAAACAACTGTCTTAACGTTGCGTTATACAACAGTTACGAGCACATGCGATTAAGATCATTCCAAATATTTTGGGTATAACCAATAAATGTTTATTTCATTTATGCGCGAAATGTGTGACAATGTAGTATTGTGATGATAATATAGCAGAAAAGCGTATATCGTGGGATATGTATTCAATGCTACGAGGCGCTTGCCGAGCTCGAATTCTATGTTTAGTGTTGTGATATATGCATGTTTGTTTGTCTGTTACATATTTACTACCCGTGTAAGAATCTTTTAGACACTTTATTTTGAATTTATTCAACGTTTGAATTTAATGTACACATTTAAGTTATGGACATTAAATGCACCATCAACTAATAGTATGCGACATTTGATTGGTGCTCCAAATGGCAATTAATACAATTTATTTAACAATTATATTTCTCTCTATCCCAAAATACGACGCGGCGGAGGCGTGCACAAAGGTCACTATAATATAATAAAGTCTTCCTACACTTCAAAGTTTGACCTGGGATGGCTTCTCATTTACGCATGCAAACCTCAGTTCACATTTCAATTCAACCTGAATCATAATAATCAATAAACAAAAATCTAAAGTGGAAACACAAGATCCAAGAGTATTTGTGTTTATTGACGTTTACTAATAGATGAAATGAAATGTTAAAAATATTTCAACCAACAATACATTCTGATAAATGCGGATTTCCAAATTCATTATTGTTATGTTCAGTAATACTACGCTATCCCTCTATTGTTCTAATATTCCTCTAACATTCAATAGAAGGCAGTTTTCGTTTAGCATTTACTACGAAAGTGTTTTTCTTTCAAGTAGTACCCGGGGGTATTTCACTAGGGTTTGTTCCAAACAATTCAACGATGCCCGTTTACTAGGAAAGGACTATCGTTTTCAGAGCGAGGTTGTTCTCACATGATCAAAGTGGAGAGTACAAGTTTTGTCAGCAGGAACAGACATGATTCGATGTGAGGATGCAAGGTTACTCTACTGAATTAATGAGCTGAGTAGACGATTTCTGGTTGAATGTAACATGTAGTTCAATGTGGTACATACATGTATCAATTTGTTCAGATGTTCATGTGACTATTATTTAGAGTATAATGTTTTGCCATGTCTAAATGTCTAAACAAAGTTTAGAAGTACAATTTAAGCCCATTTTCAAGGTAGTTTACCCACGTTTAGCCAAGTGCCCCGGGTAGAACCTCGATCTCAAACAGAGTACCATCTAGTCTGTAGCCTTTTCTTACCTATCAGTAATTCCATGGTAACGATATTCCTAGCACACTTGACATAAATAACTGACGTTCAGCAAACCTGCCATGAAATAGAAATAGAAATATAAGCATAATTCCGCTCCCAAGACGACGACCCATTCAGTCACTCTATTGCCTTTTTGAGGGACAGCACAATGATATTAATGTTTCAAAGTCAAGTTACTGTGGCTGTAATTATCGAATATAACAATTTACATAAATTGCATCATTTTAGCCTGAATATTATAATATACGAATGCGGTATTGCATGGTGACCCTCGGTCAATAATGTGTAATTTATTTTCTTTCTTCACATTCATCGTATCACCATTTCTTTAAATATAATTTATATAGTTCTTTTTAACCCAACCACGTAACTTCGTGTGTTTGTCTCGAATTTTATTTTCAGATTGCTGTGCTACTTTTACTTAATGTCACAATTTATATATATCTGTATCGCTACGGTTGAGCATAAACAGTATATAACATTGTCAGTCAACTTGAGAAATCAGACAATTTAAAGACAACTTTTCAGATGATGTGAAGTATTGCCAAACAACAGATTTTGTACTCCGATTTTCAACCCTCAAATCATTAACAATAAAAGATTATCTCAAATGAAACACCTTAGTTGAATGTTCATCTTCTATATGTTCATATGGATTCACGTGGTATTTGACTTCAGAACAGATTAGAATGCACAGATATAATTTGTTGCCAAGTTTGAAACTTCCGGGGATACGTCGTAATGTCCAATGATGCAGGATGCGTCACGCCATGTGTTAAAGACGACCAATTATGTGATATACGTGGGAATAAATGTTATTGGTGGGACACGCAGACCAGAAATCTTCACGTCCAAGCTGCGATCGGAGTTGCGATGTTACAGTCTTGGAATGTAGTAAACTAGACACTGTTTTATTCAATAATCTAATAATACGTTGTCATGTTATGTCTGAGGTATTATCGAGGCCACATTTTAACTTGATCTGTTATATATAACACCGTTCGAATCATTGAATTATAGATGTGTTTAAGAAGATTAGAAAATAAATACAAATATGCCGTATAAATATATCACGACTTAACAGGACACGTTTCATAATTCGTATCCATCATTTTCAAAGACACGCAAAACGTCAGAATCCGTGATTAAAAAAAAGCGCTGACGAAATGTCCGTGCACCATTCAAACACGCGCCTAGTGGCGACCACCGTACTTTAATTTAAACAAAAAAATGTATTCAATAAAGCACTGGTTGAATTCCTATATTTGTAATAGTGCCATGATAGTTATGCATTTTTACCTTATCTGTATCATTGCAGATGAAGGTCAAGCAAGAGGGGGGAAATGTCTGTCCTTGTTAATTCCATTGAAAAACCTTTTCTTGTGGTTACAAACTCAAACAGTTTTTATCCAATCTCTTTCAAACTTGGTTAGTATATTAACCATATACCGTATATTGTGGTTACTCAAACAATTTGTAATTGATCATCTTCAAATTATCAGTTAATAGGACATGTCATCAAAGTTCAAATAAGTGATTATGACGACTTCATTATTCTTGGTAAGCATTGTACCCATTTACATTTTAGCCAGCATTTTCTGTGCAAAATGTTAACAGAAGATTGCACTGTTCATGACTTTTATACTATTTTGCCATGCAATAAAGATATTGCATCGTTTTTATCCATACATCCATTTGTTTAATCTAGATTCTTATATAGTTAAGCTATATTGAATGAGGTCACATGACCATTAAATAATTTGATCAGATCTAGTGTGCAATATTTTCAATGTGAATGTGTCTATCTGAAATAGTGTCCTTAATATGGCTATGTACACATGCACAGGTACCCACTACTACCAATAACTATACTACTCAAAACAATTTAAGGAACATTTGAATATTCTCAGTTACAGCAAGATCCTTTATTTCAGATAAACCTATTTGGTCACATAATTGACGTGCAACATCAGCACAATGAAACAGATGATAAAGAATGCATGTAATCATTACACATCGTTACACGAGTTCTGAAAGAGAGAAGGGTTGAAAATGAAAATCTCAGTTCATGGAACATTTCAATAATGGGTGTGACCACCTCTTGCAGTAACACATGCAACACAACGTCGCCTCATGGATGTCACTAGTCTCTGCAGTGAACATTGTATCGCTTGCCACTCCTGGATCAGCCATTGAGCTAGCTGACCACTATCCACTGGTGGGGGATGATTGCCCATAACACGAAGACCAAGTTGATCCCACAAATGTTCAATTTGTGCCATGTAAAAATGAATTTAGACACATGTGGCAGATTAAATACTGCTATTGTGGCAATATTGGGGTTACATGACATCGTTTAACATGGTCCAAATGTATTTGATGTAAAAAACTAAGGTGTTCCCTAAATTGTTTTGAGTTGTACATTTCCTCATCTAGCACTGTGTGTGGGTGATTATAAGCTGTTACTATACATCGTTGGAAATGAATTCAGAAACTATGAACCCAACTATGATATTAATTTCCACAATGAAATGATATTAATGATATGGTAATAAAATTGTTTCCTTTTTAAAAGTACAGGAAAACTAATTTGTTCTACTGTATGACTAACAATATGTTTTCAATGTTATCAAATTACAAATACACCCTTATATCAATCTACATCCATACCAGGTCATGCATGTACAGTAGTACATATGCAGATTGTAAAATACAATATTGTCTTTATCTTTTAAATTAATGGAATGACAGGGCAATTTATTTTCAACAGAAATTAATTCCACACTATAATCATACTATTTGTTTATTGGATAAAAGTCATATTTTATTTAAAAATAAAAAGTTTTACAAGTTTCATGTTGTAGCCATTTAATAAATTAAAGTACATGGATCAGATTTAGATAGAATCACAAATTTAGGATTTCTAAAAATGTAGGTTTCTCCTCTTGCAATTTTGTGACCAAATTGCATTTCATGTGATTTCTTCATGTGTGATTTCATCTCACCACACTGTAAGCATAGAATTGTAAGCATAGAATTCCTTTACATACATTATAATAAAAATATTGTTTACCCAATTGTTGCATGACAAGAAAATTGCTGAATCAAAAAATATTTAAAACTTCCATTACAAGAGAACCCTGCAGAATTCTGAATTTGTGCAATACACTGTCACTTGGGTGATATAGTGTATTATGCACTCCATGTGTACATTTATGTGGTTGATATGGATGCTGTTACCATGACTACACCAGTTGGGTTGACAGTTGCTGTAAATTGATCATTGATACCATAATTGCCCAGAGATTTATGAAGGTATACATCCCTCAATGTATAGTGGTCTACACCAGTATTATAACCCATATCTTTAAGAGTCATTGAAATACTTCTAGGCATACCATTAGTATTACGATTCAGGAACACTGTTGCAAAACTTTTGTTTACCAAAGGTTTGGTCCATACTTCCATGGCTCCTGTCTATATAAACAAACACTGATAAAATAGCACTTGGCTTCAATAAAATGGCAACAAGTCGGTCAATAAAATGGCAACCAGTCGGTCAAACAAGTGTATCTCATCTTTAAATCTATCAAGTTATGTCTGAGAAACGATTAAAAACACATGGAAATAAAAACAATGCGGCTGCCAGTTTGCTGTTTTGAATCAAATCACAAAAAACAACTAAACCCAAATTTGTGATGTTCATACAGAGTTTGAATGAAATCAGTCCAGGCATGCTTGAGAATTGTGTGATTTCATTATTTTTTACAAAAATAGCTACGAGGATAGATTTTATTAAATATCCACAAATAAGTAAAGACAAAATTAAACACACTATGTCCTATCTTTGTACAAAATTAAAATTTGTAGTTGAGAAATGAGTAGAACAATTGTAAAAAAAATAAATAAAATAACTGCCATTTATCAGTGGTGAATGAAATTGGTACTGACATGCCTGAGTAATACGAGATGACATTTTCAAATGTTGATTTTATGTCATGATATTGTACCAATTTGAACAACATCACTGCAGGTATGTTAAATGAATGTTGATTTTATGTCATGATATTGTACCAATTTGAACAACATCACTGCAGGTATGTTAAATGAATGTTGATTTTATGTCATGATATTGTACCAATTTGAACAACATCACTGCAGGTATGTTAAATGAATGATGGTGAATGGATGAAATTGAGTATATTACTAGTATTTCTCTGAATGTTGAATTGTAATTTATTAATTTGCCACTCACTTTGTGCCTTGGCTTGTGAGAATGAATGATAAATGTTGTTCACATTTTGCATTCAATTATTTATCACTACAGATTTTGATTGCCATATTAATTATATATACATACAAGTTGAGAGTATTGAACTATTGATCACCAAAACAGTTATGAGAGTGGGAGAGCCTTGCATTTACCCCTTATTCCATTCTCTCCTGTCATCCCATCAACTAACCAAATAACATGGCTAACATAGTTCAGATGTTACCATGGTTACTGCATATAATGCGTGTGATAGAGGGACTGTGTATATACTTAGGATTTCCCTAGTTGCTTTCTCAATGATCCAATAAAAACATTTCAAATTTTATTAACTACTGTGAACATAATTTCATGAGTCGATGTAAATTGTGAAATTTGGTAACAGTGTCAGTGCTTTCCCCTAAAATTGTATTCTTTGAATGTCATAAAATTATCAACCGTGAAAATTGTGATCAGAAAAAATAAACAATTTCCAGTCTGTTGAAAATACTATACATTGGTTTGAAGATTAAAATAAACAAACCTTATAGACTTGTCTTCCCATCACACCAAGTGCATCTTGATTAACAGCAATAATTTCTTTATTGAGAAGTATTTCCTTAGCTTCATCACTTACAGATCTCAGGTCATTAGACATCATTAATGGTGATGCAAATATGGACCACATCGCCATCTGTGATTTAGACTGATCATAACTCAAACCGAAATCACCAATGATAACCTACATGTAGAAGCAAATAAATTACTACTATCAAGTTATTATAGCTTAACTATAGAATTACTTCTAGGTTGAGTTTGTGTTGTTTTCTTGAATTTAGCTATTTTCACCGGCTCTTTGACCGGCATTCGACAGCAGCTTGCGCAGAGCCCATAGAAATGCATGGTACAGTGGTCTTGTGACGTAGTCCCACCCAATGATAGACCCTTTTCATAAGTCTGGCACCCTCACAGGTTACCTAGAGAGAGGCCTATCATGTGAACTCAGAAAGATGCTCCTGGTCTCATGCCACTAATCAACCAATGGCTGCTCATAGCCCTCAATTTATATGCCTTGCAAGAACCAATGACATTTTTTAAATATTTTTTTTCTCAGGTGCTCTCTGTTTGAGGGCATGATTACCTGGGTCAAAGGTGAGACCAACATGTGGTCTTTTGTTTACTACTTAGCGTCTGTGTACCTGTGGGTTTATTCTGTGTGTATTTGGATGTTCTAATCTTGGTGTTTTTCCAGTGATTTCTCTTGGTGCAATCCAAATACAGTAGGTGTGTCTTGTTTACCTGAGATTTGTAAGAGTTTGAGCTGGCCAACATGTTAGTTTTTTTCATGTGGTTGATTACTGGCATGTTGCTTTCCCATTTTTGAGCCATGTTTTCAACTTTGTTCATCATTTTCATATAGCAATCTCGTCATATGGTAACATTGTCGTCTATTGAGATTCAATTAGTGATATGAGCCCTCCTGGGGAAGCCATGCTTTTTGCTGTCACTGTATGCATGGCATAGGAAATTGCTCTTAAATTTTTAATTAATTTAAAAGTCGAAGAACACAACAACAAAATAGATAAACAAACACTAATGAACAATACAATAATTAACAAAAATTATAATTAACAAATAGCAGTTGATTAAATTATAGATAATATATTTGTTATGTAATACTCACCATGTCAGGGTCATTCCATTTACCTGGTCCTTGTGCTGCTGCAAGTGTGTCATGTTCTTTTGCATAGTAGTCAATAATACTAGTAACACTATCCCAAGAATCCTGGATATCATTGAAATTACGCCATAGATTACAGTTATCTCCAATTAGAGTATAGTTTGGCTGAAAATATGAAAATATTTAAATCCAGTGTTCATACAGCAAATTGACATTAAAATATATAACAATAATTTTGCTAAAAAAATGACTGGAATTTTTTTTTTTACTATTATGTACTATTTTTTTTGAATTGTATGAGCAACTTTAATGAATACCCACATTTTGATAAACTTGTAACAATTATCACACAGGTGATCAGGTGCTTACCTTCATACCAGAAGCTTGTTGGTAATCAGGCCAACTACATGAATACACAATAGATCATGTACTTACCTTCATACCAGAAGCTTGTTGGTAATCAGGCCAACTACATGAATACACAATAGATCATGTACTTACCTTCATACCAGAAGCTTGTTGGTAATCAGGCCAACTACATGAATACACAATAGATCATGTACTTACCTTCATACCAGAAGCTTGTTGGTAATCAGGCCAACTACATGAATACACAATAGATCAGGTACTTACCTTCATACCAGAAGCTTGTTGGTAATCAGGCCAACTACATGAATACACAATAGATCAGGTACTTACCTTCATACCAGAAGCTCGTTGGTAATCAGGCCAACTACATGAAAACACAATAGGTATGCCAGTTTTATTGAGGGCCTTTGTCATCTGTGGATAGCCTGTATCCATAACTTTCGGGTTGGAGTAACATCCATCAAATTTTAAATAATCCACGCCCCAATCAGCAAATGTCTGTGCGTCTACTTCAAGGTGATCTAAACTGCCAGGGTAACCTGCACATGTGAGTTTACCATAGTCCTCATATATACCAAGTTTTAAACCTTTGGAATGCACCTGTAGAATGAGAGATTAAGACAATTAGCAGTTATGATTGCTAACCAGTACTTGCATTCTTATTCTGTATAATAATATCATAATATATTTATATTTCAGCTTACGTTTTACTAGCCTGACAAGATCACATGAGTTGCACCATCTGTGGTGCTCGGATGCTGTTCAGCTGGCGAGGGCGCCACTCACACCTACATGTCAGGCTAATATTTTTCAAAAAGGTGAAAATCTAACAATTGACAGATGGTGTGTGTTTTAAGAATATTTTTTAATTAAATTAGTTTGACATATCAAAAATATAATAATTAACTATTTCATACCAACAATCAACTTTTGTCATTTTTATCAAGCCAAAGACAACTGGCTTCAAAATAAAATAACAAATTATTAAATTAAACAAGTCATTGTCAATGACATGTCCCCGTTCTGTTCATATTTGAGTGACATATACATTCAAAGCAGATCATGACCGAAATCTCAGACCACTTTCAGTGGTCTGATCCGAAATGCAGCTGCATATGTACACATTGTACTAAATCTGAACAAAATCCATCCATGCATGACTGAGATCTCGTTCCGGAATTGTGAAAATATGCGATTTTGATGCATTTGATGCATTAAAATGACCATCATTCAGCTATTGTTAAGCGGATCATGAAACAAATGCACATACATATTTGTGACATGATGTACCATGTGTGTGTGAAGTTTGAACTTGATCAATCCAGACATGTCTCGGATACGGATCCAGAACTGAATTCTTTAAAACAAAATGGCCACCAGTCGGCCATTTCGAACTTGATCTGAAAAAAAAATGACGTGCATCAAGATACATTTTTGTACTATTATATTTAATGTATGTACCAAGTTTGAACAAAATCCGTCCATGCATAACTAAGATCCGGGTCCGGAATGATGAAAATGGGTGATTTCAATGCATTTTCGGCCTTAAAGCGGCCGCCATTTGGCTATCGTTAATGAGATCATGAAACAAATGCACATACATATTTGTGACATGATGTACTTTGTGTGTGTGAAGTTTGAACTCGATCAATCCAGGCATGTCTCAGATACGGTTCCAGAACTGAATTCTTTGAAACAAAATGGCCGCCAGTTGGCCATTTCAAACCCGATTCTCAAAAAAATGACATGCATCAAGGTCCTATTATGTTTAATGTATGTACCAAATATGAACAAAATCCGTCCATGCATAACTGAGATCCGGGTCCGGAATGGTGAAAATGTGCGATTTTGATGCATTTTTGGCCTTAAAATGGCCGCTATTCGGCTATCATTAATCGGATCATAAAAAAAATGCATGTGCATATGTTCCATATAATGTGTGATCTATGAGTGAAGTTTGAACTTAATCGGTCCATGCATGTTCGAGATACAGGTGATCACGGACGCACACAGGGCAAACCATAAGTCCCCGTTTTCGGACTACGTTCGAACAGGGACGAATAAACTGTTGGCAGATAATTTGTTGAATTTTAACATTTAACATTGACTTACATAATCAGCTAGTCTTTTAATGCCACTTGGAAACCTGGTTGTATTGCCGTATAATTTACCATTACTGTCTCTTTGGTGAGACATCCAGCAATCATCAATGGCCACGTATTCATAACCTACATCTTTGAATCCATCAGTGGACATGTGATCTGCTATCTGCATAAATAGCTTCTCTCTAGAATATAACAAATCATTGTCACATGAATCAATATTTGAAGATACAACAAACCCTGTTGGTTTAATAGTAAACAAAATTGAAATAAATCAATCATTTTTAAGTTGTAAAGTTTGATTGCAATCAGTTAATGCAATCAGTTAATGCATGAGAGAGACATGGTTCTAAAACAGCATTTGTATTCAGCCATTTTGAAATACCATTGTGGTGTCATTAAATATATGTTAAATGTATATACTGAAATAAACAATAGATCTTGATCCAGAATGGCCGCCATTCGGCCATCTTGAATCAGATCATGAATCTATTAGTTGGGCATACGTATCTCAAGATATATAATGTTTGTGTCAGTTCAAATAGGATACGCCCAGGCATGTCCGAAGTACAAGTGAGAACAGACATATGGAGGCCCTCATTTTCAGACTCTGTTCAAGCAGGGACTAAAAAGGGTAAAGTAACAAATTGTATATTGATTAGTAACCTATGATGAGTGAGGTAAATACCATATTTGAAATATATTAGCCGAAGTATCCCTGAGAAACTGTTCATGAAATATTATTTTAATTCCAAGAATTAGACTAAGCTCACACAGCCCAAAAATAGAACACAAAACATGTCAGGAAATATCAGGTGAAATATATTTTATAACAAATTGATGATATTTTAGAAATTAAAGACAACACATGTATGAGAGGTTAATTACTTGTAGTTACAAAATGTATCTGAAGCATTTGATAAGTACTGATGACTATTTAACTTTCAAATTCTGCTATTACAAAATGAAACCAATGTAAAGAAGATAATTTATCAAATAAAAAAAATGGAAACAATAAATATTCTGTGAAACTAAAACTTGGTTTTGTAGAAACCTCACAAAGAGAAAACCTACCCTATACAATTATCTGGATCGTTGACACAGTCTATATTGCAGCGAAATCTCTCCCATGCCATCCATCCCATAGGTGGTGTCCTCGCTAGGCCATTGTCCAAACTGAATGTACCGTACAGACTCAATATAACCAGTGATGTCATAAACCAGATATTCATTGTAAACTGGTGGTGTATCGTGGAATTAAATGGTAAAATTTATTAATAATACATCTATAATAAACAATTCCTTGCACATGTTTATTTATAAACTGCTGAGTACAGTCGCTGGGTTGGGTTGTGAGCAGAATTTGCGATACATACATCCTGTCTTCCCCTGAGGCATAATGGTACATCCCAGAGAGTCACATGGTGATTGTGAATCATTGACCCAAGTCTCCTATTTTAAATTGGTAGACCTTGGATAAAATTGGCATCCTCTATACACTGGTTTGTCCGCAATTTGAGATAACCAATCATTTCATTGGATACATTTTATTGTTTGCATGGGCATAATTTAGATGTACCGACAGTATTTAAGTTGAAACATGTGTGAAAACCTTTAGTCAAGAAGGTAACCTGTGATTTCTGACTCCAGTTAGCTTTACCATATACTGAGGTACATATGCAGACGTGCTGTGCAGTAGTCCCTGCTGATAAACAGGAACCACTGAAGCAGCTGGTTCTAGTGACTAGCGCCCAGTATTATTTATTTATTAGAGTGAAGGAAACCTTATATATTGTGTTGATTTGATTTATTGCATTTTTCATTGGTATATTTCCTTCCATGCACTGCCTCAGTTGTGATGATATACTTTCCCAAAACGATTCCCAAGATGTATAATAATAAGGGTATTATGATGATACTACAAAGTATGCACTCAGATAGTATGCATTTGCACTGACCTCTGCTCCGATTGAAACTCTGTACTGTCTTTGTGCATACTTTGCAGTATCCTCGTAATAACCTCATAATCATGCATATGAGTTTAATAGTAATCATCTAATTAGAATGTTGAAAAAAATGGGAATTACTCATAATGACTTTTTAAAGAAACTCAAAAGCAATTCAAAAGCAGGTGTAATGTAGAGTATACATTATGTACAGCAACACAGAAACTAAAGTTATCCATGCTGTTAACTTAAGCTGAATGATCTGACCCTTAAATTTAAACTTCAACAACATTAGATTAGATTAGTTAAATTGCAAGACGTCAGCATTGCAAAGTCTCGTGAGATCTCATGAAAATACTGTTCTTTTAATACATATCTTGGACATGTACATTTTGGAAGTTGTGATAGGAGGTTCAGTAGTGGATGACTTGTTTTCGTGGTCGTGGCCACAGCCGAAGAAGGCATGGTGGAATTTGCATAAACAGTAATTTTTATTCATTACATATCCACTAATGCTGTAAATAAACTATTGGCATTTTCTTAGTTTTTAAGTTAATTGACATAAAATAAGAATATCAAACAGCTACTTTTTACTTGTATTGCTGCTGTACTGATAGAAATACTGTATTTCTAAAGAAGCAATAAATATTAGTATTATTATAACAGCTACGATACCCGGAAATGGGGACTTATGGCTTTTGTACATATCACAATTATATCCCACAAGGATCGTTCAAAGTTAGCAATTTTACGAATTTACGAGCGTCTGTAATACACATATATAGAGTACACATACCTTGACTTCAGTGCATCGAATTATAAAGATCTAGTGTAGTACAATTCTGAGTTTCAGTCGAAAACAAACGCCCCCAAACAGGTCAGGTGATCTGTCTCAACTTTATTATGTAAAAAGTTACCTTATTGGCCTGTTTCTGATAGATTTCAAACACAAAATTCTATTGGATTGTTCTGGACCAATCATGTTGCAATATTGTTGACCGCGTTTCAAAATGGCTGCTTCGTAACCAAAACGATAGATTGATATCGAATGCAGACGAAAAGTCCACATTCTGCTGACTATTAGAACGAAACATCGTGTTTACCGAGAACTCAAGTCGTAGGACAGAAATTGCTGCCGCAGTACACGATTTCACGAGATTAATGAACATGTGAGTATTCAGTGAACACGACGTTTGAATTTTTCGTGGCATCTAACATGTCCTTGCTTGTTTTGATCAGTTCACTGTACATCGTGTACGTGTGAATACATATTTATCTGCCACGACGTTGGAACATCGTTGACAGTAGTTCGCTGACATTTGGTAGTCTGTCCTCACTTTGAGTATAGCTCGCATTTGTTTGATTTGTCTAAGTATTGTACTGTCCTGTATCCATGCGCGAGTATCGCCTTTTTTACTACTTCCGGGTTGAGTTGGCCTGTATTTATAGTGACTCTCACTAGAAGTGTATTGTCACGAAGGCGCGACATAACATTAATATAGGGTCTTAGCATAAACACAATTATCTGTTCATGATTTCAATAGGTTATCGATTGAAAATAATATTTGACAATTCTTGGTATCAGAAAATGAAATCAATGATATTGCACCAATTGTTATATTTTCTAGAGCCAAGAAAGATGTTTTATGTTTCATGGACAGTACTTAAATAGCAAACTGTTTACTCTACTTTAATAATGATAGCACAAAACATGGTTTTGTTTTTTTCACTTTAGTTGCTGAGTTAGCAATCCTAGAAAATACTTAATACAATGTTATCACCGGAGCAAGAGGAGTTGTCTGCAGAGGAATTAAAAAGCAAGTTATTCCACTCATTTAGAGAAAAGGGAGTATTAGATTCTTTGAAGGTAAGGTTGCAATGTCAAATAAAGATGTGGGGTTCAAACTGTTGAGATTGACATTCTTTACACTGTTCAATAGTTTCAAAAATTTATAAACATAAAACAATCATAAACTTGAAAACTGCCATTGACCAATCAAGATGATCACCTTGGATGGATACATGCCCCTGAAAGGGATGACCCAGTCTGTGTATATGCAGTGTGAGTCAATCAATCAACATAGGCGTATCTACCAGATTCTGATTGACTTTCCTGTACATCATTGGAAGGGGGTGCGAATTGTTAAAGTCAATCGGGTTGTCTCAAATGAATTTGAGTGATATATTTTATGGTTGTGTTATAAACTAAATTATTGAAGCAGCTTTTCTGAAACCACTACTGGTATATACAATTTGTTGTAGATATATATCGATGTACTTGTGAACATTTCCATTTCCAATTATAAGATTATTTCTTTCATTTTTCTTCATGTAATCCCAATTTTTCATTCATATGTGTAATATAAATCGACATGGAATTCTCTGACTACTGACTTTTCCTGTGCAGTACACTGTTACAGGATACAACATTCACAGCAAATGATGTCAGTCAGCATGAAATGATTTTTTTGGTCATATTTCAGTCACAGCTTCGAAATAGATTGATTACTGAACTGTCACATGGTGGAATAACGGGTAAAATACCAAGACATGTATCAGTGAAAGATGAGTCGTTGATGCTAAGGGCTTCTAACAGTATCTTAGCTGATCACCTTAGACGATGTCATTACGATTACACATTGTCAGTATTTTTACCAGAGAGTGGAACAGGTCAAGATAAGGTAAACTATGATTCATTTAAGTATGTCCAAAACTTGCAATAGTTATATTTCCTTCACAATATGGTCATAGTGGTATTAAGAAATGTTTTGAACATTGAGAGCCACCCTGGTTTTACTGCAGCCTTTGATGATACCATCCAATGTGTAAATTGACATGTAGCGTATTCGCACATGACTTGTTGACTGCATTTATCTGTAATTCATGCATTTGTTGTTCTGGTGTCAATTGTTGGGTTTTTTAGTGATACACATTGAAAATAAGATATATGATGTTAACTTTGCTGATAATATTTAATAATATTTTTCATTGCAGTTATTTACTGTCAGGGATCTACTACAACTGCTACAAATTAATCCTCAATCTAAACTTTTCAAAGATTTGGTAAGTGCATCTGATGTTGAACATTATTTACTGTGTTTGTTCCATGAAATCAGGCTTTTAACATGTAAAACATGGTTTCTTTCAATTGGCAGATGATGACATAAAGGTGTCATGTTGTTTTTTTAAAAAAAAGGAAACAAATAAATACATATCTACCATATGACATATTTTCTATTGGTTTCAGTCCTCCAGTATTACCACCTTCACAAATGAGAGTTTTCTATGGCAACTGTTGACACAGCTTGCTTCTAGGTATCAGGGTGGATGTCATGATAAATCATTACAAACAGAAGGACCTCCTGTCTGTTTTACTTCATTAGGTAATTATATTAAACTCTAAATGGTATCTATGTCTTTATCCTAAACACTATGGGGGAAATCAATGCTGTAACGATGTGTATAGCTCATCGCTTAAAAAAATATAATTTAGCTAAGGTCAAGTTGAATGAAATTGTGGAGATCTCAAGCTATAAATACTTTAAAAGCGAAGACCAACAACATTACGATACTCCTGTAGTGCATCTTGTCTATTATGCTCCTTACACCCTATCCTATTGAGAAAGACAACATAATATAATTACATTGTAACATACACATTCTAAGTAGTGAGTTAATCCCTCAAATCATTCATGCGAAGTGAGGTGCATCATTTATTGTTCAAAATGACAGCCATGAAGATCTTTCATTAAACATGTTATCGTATTTGCAGATGCAAGATTATGATATAAGCCACAAAGAAAATTAAATTATTATACATCTATCACCGTAACGCCATAAGTTACAGCGGTAACTGCTGTATTGTACCCCGTCATCCTACCATATTAGGAAATGCAAATTCCAAATATGGAATGATTATGGGCGTACAGGTCCTCTAATAATGAACTACCATCAGGGTTTGATCAGACTCCACATAAAGAAGTTTGTTGATTTTGTTCTAAATTTTTTGGATTTTGGCATTCCCATGATGTATCATTGGGAGGAAAAGATGTACAATAATAAGGCTTTTACGACTCGAACAGTACGCCATCACATCGACCTCTGCTGCACATTGGTCGAGACTACCGCTTTACTATCTTCGTGCATACTTTTTCGGTATCCTCGTAATACCTCATATTACCGTAGTTGCATTTATATAGTGGGTAAATTGATTCAAGTTAATGTTTTTGTGGAAATATACGTGACTAATGCATTCATACCTGTTTGTCATAGCAATTATAACCAGACAATTTATACTGTTCAAAATTTAATTATATGGCATGTTTTTTTTTCAATCTCTTTTACACATTGCTTTGTATGTATCATACAGTGAGAAACTCAAAACATATTATTGTAAGCCATGATTAATATACAAAAAATGGGCCAGAATTCTTGTGAATAAAATATATTAGAAGTCTCTTTTAGATTATTTGAAAGTCAATAGACAATAAATTAAAACCTAATGCATTCTCTGCAACCATATCACAGTCCTACTACCATGTCTACAGGTAGCTTGGAATACCAACTATTTATGAACCATTTTTATTTATTTTTTCTATGATTTCTTTGACAAAATTTACCATAAACCATAAAATTTGAAATGTTCACAAATATGAATTTTATTCCAGATGACAAGTTAGATTGTGTGGAGCAAGCTTACAGTAATAAACTAGATAATAATGAACTTGGTGGATCATTGGAAGAGAGACTTATGTCTCATCGCAGGCAGATAGAAGCACAGGCAAGAACTGATGTCAATGCAGAGGTAGGTACTTCCCCATGTTTGGCACAAAGGGTGAATAAATATAAGTGCATGAATCCATGATTATTTGGAATGAGTCCCATGCAACGTGTATCATGTGTTTAAACACAATGCTTAAAATTAAAATGTTGAGACTGATTTTCAGATTTTGGTGTCCTCCTTTTTTTCAAAGTACAGTAGGAGTATCAGCTGACACATAATACAGGTTGAGACTCTATTGTAATTTGTTGTTGCATTCCTGTAATGAAAATTAGCGGGCCATTTGTCTGGTTTAAAAGCAAGTAACTTTCCAATAGACAAGTAGTTTGCAGAAGCATTGAGGAAATCCTCTGTAAGACAAAAAAACTTTAATTTCGACTAACCTGAGTAAGTATTAAAAACGATTTAGCAGAGAATTATGAAAATATGATATAAGAATATTGTAATATCATTTACTAGTATGTGTGTCACAGATTGTTTTCAGATTCACAGGAGATAATACAGTTTTGTGTTTAGTTTAGCATATATACTAATGATTTTAGTTCCATATATAAGTGTTTTTTTTTCTTTTGTTTGTGTATGGTTTTTAGATTCTAAGATTCAAAGAGAATGATCTGGCTAGAGTTAAACTGGAGGAAAGAGAAAAAGCCAGAAAAGAGATCGAGCAGTCCAGGAAGGAGGTGAGATGGTTTACTAATTAGTGCAACTATTCTGTGTGCTATTTATTCCTCATTGTTTCTTTTGATGTTACAAACTAGCAATGTACATTTGTACTCCTATTATCCTATTAAATGCCATCATTTTGGTGTTTTATTCCTGACATGTATTTTTCTACAATTTCTTTATTAATTTTGGATATGTCTTCATTAAAAATTTTGGAGAAATTTAAACTGGGAAAAATTTGCACCAAAACTGTAAAAGAAAAGATAAGCTTATGAAAGAGTTAATTTATGGATTTGTCACCATCAACATATTTTCGTTCTCTTTGTGGACTTAATGCAATTTATCAACCGGAATTGGGGTTAGTAGGTGATATATGGGAATATGAATATTATAATCAAATGTCATTGTAATTTTTATTTTTTAGATGGAAAGAACATATCAGATTAAATCAGATGCATTAGGTGAAAGAGAAAGACATTCATTGGAAAGATTACAGAAAGAAAGAGAGGTACATTTATTTTGCTGATTCAGGAAGTATCATATGCCCTGGCTATGGTTTTTAAAGTTGCCTTATAACACAGGATTATCACTGGTTACATTGTTACTGTCTGCCAAAAGCTACTGTTGAAGATTCAAGCTATTTTCTTCAATACACAAATCAACAGATCTTGAAAAAAATTACAATTTACAAAATCATGGTTCTTCTGTCATTTAGAAGTGTAATTCTAAAAATGTTACAAGAACTAAATTCACTGGCCTATATTGAGAACCTTGTTCAAGGGTTGTAGGTTGATGTCCGAATTTTGAATGATACCAGGATATCCTATTATATGGATTAGATCATCACATAGCTCATGTAGTCCTATTCATAGAATATGTTGTATATATGTACACACATACTATCAGCATTGCACAGTCAGACCACAGTGTTCTATGTCTGGCCCAAAAAATACTTTGAAAAAAATAAAAAACAGAAATAAAAAAAGACATTAATTGGCACTTTGTTTGAGTTCACAGTTGTCACAGCATAAACCTTCTGGGGGCTGAAACTAGATTCTCTTGGATCAGATTCACCTGCACTTTTCGGTTCATATGACAACTATTGGAGATGTATAATATAGAAAATTGAATTAGATATTTACATAATCTGAGATATCAAACCACAGTATAATGATTTTCATTGTTCAGATTATGGAGAAAGAGACGTTTATTCAGAGACAGAAAGTACTTGAAGAATTAGATTCTCTGCGAGTCAGAGAAGCCACAGTGAGACGAGAAGCTGATCTTAATGCAAAGTAAGTGGCCAGTAATCCATCTGCTTTTAACTTGAATTATTATAATCTTAAAGTCAAACTACATGTGCGCTGCATTCAATAAATTCATACTTCTAACAAACAGCTAATATTTGACAGAATAATTTTAATTTACATTGGACCCCAGCACAATACTTTCACAAGATGTTTTTACAGAGACACAGCTATGTGTCATATACATGTAGATGAGGCCAGCTTATAATGGCAGGTATATTTACTTTTACTCACCTCATCATCATCTCAGTATGGGTCATAGAAGTCATAGGACCCAGCATAAAGTTCTCTTAATCAGCTAGGTTAATCATTAATATGGTGATAATCACAAATTATTTATTAACAGAGCTGTTAAAATTGAGGAGGATAGAAGAAGAGCAATTGAAGATAATTTAAGAAAAAGAGAAGCTGCTGTGGCCAGGATAGAAGAAACATATGAGCATCAACTCACAGAAAAGATGGCATCGTAAGTATTCAGATTGTATGTTTTATTTGGCGATTGTAAATTGGTCTTATATGGGTAGAGCTACATGTAGGAATGGGTAATACAACGGCCAGAGCTTGAAGTTGAAAGAGTACCCATTTCAAGGCCAAAATTGTCTTGGCATCATAGTAATAACAAGGGGAACATCAAAGAGCACCAATTCAAACTCATTGGGCACCAAGACAAACTCATTGGACACCAAGGCAATGGATTTTGATGCCTCTGTGAAGTTCAAACCCTCCAACAATAACTATACCAATGTAAATGTTATACTGTAAAATGACTAATTTTCACTGGGTTTAAATTTCACTGATTTACCATTTCAGGCATATTCAGTGGGTTTTAAATTCACGGTTTCGTCATTTAGATAATGTGTTCCATGCTAAATTTTACATATTCACTGTGTTTTAATTTAGTGCATTTTTCCAGTCAGTGAAATAAGCTAAATTAAAACCCCCTTTACAGTAGTGCATGTACACATATTGTGTTTGCAGCAATGTAATGGGTAAATACATTTTGAAATTCTTTTGGAAAGATATAGTTGTGCACCAATATATATTATGCATTCACAATTACAGGAAATAATTTCACCACCAAAATCCTTAGAAACCTTTATTAGGAATGAACTTCTCACTTTTTGTTCATGTTGTTGTTGTCTTGTGGGAACAGGTGTGCATATAGATGTTGCCAACCATTTCATATGAACTCGCAACATATTCAATTCATTTTCATTTAGTTGATCTGTCAGACTTTTAGAATACTAATCATGTAAGTTGTGGCAGACATTACCAATATGTTAATATTTGTAGTATACATAGCATAAAATAGACATTATTGTTTTAGATAGAAGTTCAGTCTAATATACAAAATATCTCTGTGATTTTAGTTACGATCTTGAACAGAAGTCCAAATATATAACAAGACTGCAGTCTTTGGAGATTTCTGAAGCCAGGAATAAAGGTAAGTGTATTTATTTCTAGTCACAAGCTGTATACAGTATGTGTAAAAATACACAGGTGTAATATGAATTAGTCATATTACATGGTATATCACATGGATGACCTCACTGATACTATCGTCATTCACTGCTGCTGCTGTCTTGACCCATGTTGTTTTTGAGGTTTTGAAGGAACTTTAGCCATCCAAAATACACAACGAACGTGTCTGAATAGATAAGATACTCTGTTTGGATGTTTAGGATATTCTTTATATAAAGCAAATATGTATGGTGAAACCGCCATCGTATGATGAAATATCGTATCCTGTGTTGTATTCTACGCATGCCAAGGCGATGCTCACTGAGAAAGCTCTAATCTATGTGGCTTGTCAATACAGATAGAAGGTGCGACTTTCACGAGAAAGTCATTGCAGTCACTTCCATAGCGTTCTGACATTTTTATCTGGCGAGTGGTGAAATAACTTGCGTCTGAGAAGTTCTCAATTCATATCAATAATTTTATATGCTATTTTTATATGATTTGAGTGATTCACACTGCTAAAAGTAACGTTAACTGTGCATTTCATAGTTTTTATTCCAGCAAACAATGTATGTATGTATGCTATTGAGTAATATGTCACTTGTTATAAATTATATGTACTAAAATATTGCATACTTCAAATATAAGTGTTGTTATTTTGTGGGAGAGTGGGCGTGAGAGATGTATGTTAGCTGTATTTGTGCATGGTGGATGTCTGTTCGATGTGATAAAATAAACAATACATGATCATTCAGGCAATATCATGATTTGAGGTCTGCCCTTGGGATGTTGGTCATGACCATGGTATTGATGATGTCAGAGCAGACAACAAATCGTGATATTGCCCTCACAAACATGTGTTATTTAAATATACAACTATATCAGTATATAAATAACAGGTACATGTATGTTGTTTTTTGTTGATAGAGGAGACCAGACTTCTGGCAGAGGAGAGAGCCAGAGTGAATTTAGCCAGAGAGGATCTTAAAGAAAAAACTGCAAGATGCAAGCAGCTTGAAGTAGGTGAAAACTGCTCAGTTGTATATTGTGTACATTTATATCAATTCTATTCTCCAGAAATGTAAGAATTTGTTCTTTGTTCCCTCATGTGTGTCAATAATCACTGTATCATTGTCATCCTGACTAGTGGATGGCTGGTGTTTCCTTCTCTATGGTAACCTAACAACCATTGGTTTCAAGAAGGAGATCTCTGTCTTGAACTTGTAAATTTGCAAAACTTTCTTTATTTGATTTTTAATTTTGTTGTCAATATGCTGAGAGGTTTCCCCACTTGATGATAATATCATTACCCACAATACATTGCATGTATCGTGTGATTGGCTGTTGAGAGGGACAGGAGAACTGGTAGTTAACAAGGTCTATGTTATATTGATAGTCTCAGACCAGGATATTACGGTTGCTGAGAGGTCTCCTCACTTGATGATATCATTACCCACAATACATTGCATGTACATGTATCGTGTGATTGGCTGTTGAGAGGGACAGGATTAAGAACATTAAAATGGTGGCTTGGCTAGTTGCCAACACTGTTAAACTGATAGTTAACAAGGTCTATGCTACATTGATAGTCTCAGACCAGGAAATTACATGTACAGTAGCAGTGATGCATTGCTATTGTGACTGATTGTGTTGAGTGACTGCTACTGTCTGACTGTAGTCACTGTTTCAACCATGAATGCAGCTGTGAATAGTTCAATATTTTAGTTGCAAAACTGATCCATACATTATTCAGTTTAATAGCATTTTACCCATTGAATAGTTGCTACTATGATGTAATACCATTATGTTTGTGAACACCGTAGTGGATATTGGGTTTACTGTAATATATGTTTGGAAGTAAAGAAATATTAATACCAGCATGAAAGGAAACAAATTATATTATAATATCATTACAGTCACCAAAACTATTCTGAGTGACTGTGGTTAGTTAAAAGTTGATAGTGAATTAGTATGCTAATTTACTGACTTGGTACTTGATGTAACTGTGGTTATCACAAAAACTATGATTTTTATTAACATGATACAGTGGTTAATTACATATTAATTTTATACATATGAGTTTGTTAAGTCCCTGTCATTCAGGATTGTTGTCATTTATGGGCCATTTGGACACTTATTAACTACAGCTTGTTGGTCACATGGTTCTGAATTCATATCATTGGGGTCACAATCTTTCTCATCACTTTCATCCAAGCAGTCACAAACTCCATCACATCTACGGCATTTGTCTAAACACATCTTGTTGTCGGTACACTGGAAGAACTCTAAGTCTTTGTTAAAATACGAAGATTTGCAGTCATCTGTTACAAGTAGAAACATAGAAGAGTTGTAAATCCACAATGTTGAATATTAATTAATTTATTTACATGAATAATTGCACCAATTTCAAGGTTTTTTTAAGTTTTTTCCTATGCAATATATTTTCTGGCAAACCCCTTTTTTATTCAGCCACTCACCAGAAATAATGGTTCACCCCAAAAAATAACATTCCCTTTCAGAGTCATTAAGCTCACTAATTTGCATAATTGTTGTACGGCTCTGTTAACAAAGGCGAGTAAAGGGCCCTTCCAAATTTGTCTTCTATTGCATATTAATTATCAAGCTAAATATAATCATCTGTTTGTTTATGAAAGCTTACCCTCATGTTTGGTTACACAGTCATCACCTTCTTCATCAGAACCGTCTTCACAGTCCATTAGAGCATCACACCAGTACCGATTTGAGATACATGCTGGTGAACCACTGACACACGAAAACTTATAACGGTTGTCTATCTTGCTACATATGTCTGCACCTGAGAAAATATGGCCTATTTAAATCCAATTTTCTATGAGAAGGGGTGTAGCTATGATACGTATTATAATAATAAATTTACTACCCCTCTCTCAAACTCAATTCTAATGCTTATTGCATTTTTTCTGTATGTGCCTCCTCAAGCAATGAAGTATGTCTGTGACGTAAATAGGTGCAATGTATGCAATTCACAATGTTGACAGTGTTTTGATTTGGAGTATGTATGTATGCTTTACTTACAGACAAACAAGTGACTGGAAAGGTGTTTTTGGGTAGTTTCTTAAATAATCTGAGTAGTAGTTTCAGATACAAACATTTACAGATGACTCAATCGGGAAAAATGGTGGTATTATTATGATTCTTACTCCATTGGCGCTTAGATGCAATAAGCATAAGTTCTTCCAATTCTTTTAACTCAATGTCCCGTAAAATGTCGCCCACTTCTTTTTCTTGTTTAGTTTGGTCAGCATAATATTTGGCTGCTGCTGCCACATACATGACAACAGAGATTATTATCAGATAGCGAAGCATTATGGCTGTAATAAATAATAAGGAAGTTAATTAAAAAACATATAGTGAAGTAGACATCTTCATATTTGTAAAAATATTCCTGTTATCTTTAGTAACCTGTGTGTCTAATATCTAAGACTGTACTCTTATCCTGCAAATCAGACTTAGATTGATGTGAGCATTGTCATTCAAAGTCACAATTTTGTTTGTATAGTTTAATTTAAAATAGTAAAATTTCCAAAAAAAACAAATCAATATCAATGCTGTGAGCAATGTCTCTCACATCACAGAATTGCTTCATTGCTAGCAGGTGCATCTTATAGGAGACGTAAAGCAATTGCATTGGCCATGATTTATTAAGTGTAAAAAGCTGGGACCCATGGGTAATATGTTGGCCTATCTGACATCTTTTGAAAGGTAATTTCTCACATGTTCAAAGGGTGGTCATCATGCAATAGACGTTCACATTTAGGGTGAAAGAACAATGTTGATCAGGTTTCATATCAAATCCATCATATCAAACGCATCATATCAAATGCATCATATCAAAAGCATCATATCAAAAGCATCATATCAAATGCATCATATCAAATGCATCATATCAAATGCATCATATCAAACGCATCATATCAAACGCATCATATCAAATGCATCATATCAAATGCATCATATCAAATGCATCATATCAAACGCATCATATCAAACGCATCATATCAAACGCATCATATCAAACGCATCATATCAAATGCATCATATCAAATGCATCATATCAAATGCATCATATCAAATGCATCATATCAAAAGCATCATATCAAATGCATCATATCAAATGCATCATATCAAATGCATCATATCAAACGCATCATATCAAATGCATCATATCAAATGCATCATATCAAATGCATCATATCAAAAGCATCATATCAAACGCATCATATCAAACGCATCATATCAAAAGCATCATATCAAAAGCATCATATCAAACGCATCATATCAAACGCATCATATCAAACGCATCATATCAAAAGCATCATATCAAACGCATCATATCAAACGCATCATATCAAATGCATCATATCAAATGCATCATATCAAACGCATCATATCAAAGCATCATATCAAAAGCATCATATCAAAAGCATCATATCAAACGCATCATATCAAACTCATCATATCAAACGCATCATATCAAACGCATCATATCAAATGCATCATATCAAACGCATCATATCAAACGCATCATATCAAACGCATCATATCAAACGCATCATATCAAACTCATCATATCAAATGCATCATATCAAACGCATATCAAACGCATCATATCAAACGCATATCAAACGCATATCAAACGCATCATATCAAACGCATCATATCAAACACATCATATCAAACGCATCATATCAAACGCATCATATCAAACGCATCATATCAAACGCATCATATCAAACGCATCATATCAAACGCATCATATCAAACGCATCATATCAAAGGCATCATATCAAAGGCATCATATCAAAGGCATCATATCAAAGGCATCATATCAAAGGCATCATATCAAAGGCATCATATCAAATCCATCATATCAAATCCATCATATCAAACGCATCATATCAAACGCATCATATCAAACGCATCATATCAAACGCATCATATCAAACGCATCATATCAAACGCATCATATCAAACGCATCATATCAAACGCATCATATCAAACGCATCATATCAAACGCATCATATCAAACGCGTCATATCAAACGCATTATTTCAAAAGCATTATTTTAAAAGCATCAAACGCATCATATCAAATGCATCATATCAAATGCATCATATCAAATGCATCATATCAAACGCATCATATCAAACGCGTCATATCAAACGCATTATTTTAAAAGCATCATATCAAACATCAAACGCATCATATCAAACGCATCATTTCAAAAGCATCATATTAAACGCATAATGGAATCACCGTCCCCCTTGAGGGACGGTGATGGAATGGACAATTTTAAAAATGAATGATTGGAACTGTATCTTCATAGTCAATAAACTCCATTACGTTGTTTACTTGTGCTCTGGCTGGTCATTTTAGATACAATTATTTGGTTACGTTGAAGAATAGTTTACTCGTTCACACCCTATTCACAATAGTTTCGGAAAGGTAATAGTAAACGAAGAACCAAACTACCGTACTAAGCATGATTTTTACACCTATATATGTCATTGTCGTCCGGTAAAAACACCCTGGGCTTATAATCGGGGATGCCTTCCAATCGTTAAATGTCTAAAAATAGAGGGGTGGGCTTATACATTGTACCTGGAGAGGGGCTTATGATCGGGGAAGTACGGTATATTAAATGTCTGTCTGCTTCAACTTATGACTATCTATATAAACTGAAATCCTTGATACTGATATATTTTGAAAATTTGTTTGCCTAATGGACCATGTAATGGAAAATAGTTGTCAATTCTAGTACAGACTGAGATTTTAGCTAATCCCATATGTTTGCATATCAAGACCATGTTGGATTCATACATAGAAGGGGGCTAACAGTTAGTACGAACATGGAACTACCGTATTACCCCGGGCACGCGCCCAGGGACCTGAACGTACAAAATCGGGAAAAATTGGGGGTGGGCGCTTACCCGAGGACCACCCCAAAAAAGATTTTAAAAAGTTGTTTTTGTGATCGTATGATAAGGTCAAATAAAGGAATGCTTTCGTACATTTTGTACACGTACTTATTTCTTGATTTATGCGAGGTTTCAATAAACGTGAGCACTCAGTCAAGAACTGTGGGAACACTAAGACACAGGGTCTTTTTTAGTAACCGTGACCAGTGCAATTCGAAACGGCCGGGAAAAACTACCGTTTGTAATCCAAGAAGGCGATGATCTCATTAGCATAATTTTGTTCAGGCACGTATTGATACATCGCATCGTAATTACTGAAGAATAGCAAACAGGGTTATGAAACGAAGAAAACTTGTATTACTGATGTGAAATGTTTACAAACTATTGTGAATACATAAGCATATCCAAATGATGGCGATACATAAAAAACAGACTGAAAATAATCTCTGGTCGACCTCATTAACATGATTTATTCACGCACCCACACACGTGACAAAATTATGATGCAACAAATTTCCACCGCCGGCATGCCTCATTACGGTTATCGTAATGGACTTGAGGTCGGCAAAATGTTTTTTTCTTCAACGACAGAAAAATAATCCACATGACCGTAATGCCATAGCTGTGATGAAGGATGGAAAGAAAGTAGCAAGTATTACGACGTGATGGCTCAAAAGTGCTAGCTCCCGTTCACAGTCAGCTGGCATCGGTGTCGCTGGGTGTAGATGATGAAGGGAAGTTGTGCAACCAAATTTGCCAAGTTCACAGTTTTTCGCCAATAAAAAAATAACTAAGGCTTTTTGCCAGGTTTTCAGCATTTTTGTAATGAAGAAATTATTCTCTATCAATAATCCCAAAACAGGAACATTTCCACTAATTCTTGTGTTTTTTCGACGTTTTTTGAAAAACCTGTGATTAGGCTGCAAAAGTAGAACATTCCGGAGGGGGTGAAATGGAAGAGCCAAACTTAACGCGTAAAAATAGAACGCGTATTTTGACCTCTACGTGGCCAAGCAATGGCTGGACACGGATACGTTTGCGGTCATTGCCAAAAAGCCCAGCGTCCATCGCCTGACGATGCTCTTTCGTTATGGATTCAGTCAGCGAAGTGCTACGTTTTGAAACCAAAGCTAAGTGCTTCAAACCACTCACCAAAGTATGGATTATTGCAATATTGGATTCATCGTGAATGAAGAGAAAGCGGAACGTGTGCGCCAACATGCTGTGTGGTTCATCTTACGTCGTTAAGTTCCAATGAGTTTTACGTAAAAACATAAACAAAACGGCCCTTTTCAGGGCCACCACACACTCCAAAAAGAGAACTACCGTAACAAACACACTATTTAAATAAATCAAACGCGTTCGTTTTTGACAAATAAAACTTTATTGTTGACCCCATTCTTGGCTAAAAATCACCCTGGGCGTTTAACCGAGGATGTCCCCAACATGTAACTTTTGTGAAAACAGGGGGGTGGGCGCTTGCCCAGGGAGGGGCGCGTGCCCGGGGTAATACGGTAGTTGCACGTTTCATGTAAATAGGCCTGATACACCAAGAATGCAGAAATTTCTATAATTTGGGTTCAGTGTTTCTGTCCAGTAAGTTAGTGTATATCAGCTAATTTACATAACAATAGAATATTTCAATTACCTCTATTGTTTATCCAGAATTAGGGAAGGATGTATTTTTGACAAACATTGTAATATTTGATTATTCTGAAATTGTACATCCATGAGAATACTTTCACGTCCTGCTCCTCATCTGGGTGACCTCTCCTCCATCTGAGTTACCTCTCCTCCATCTGAGTGACCTCTCC